AGAGCATTCGCCAAGGTACAGGATAGTTCTAGAAACGTGGCGTGACACTAGTCATGTGACCTCACTGACACAACATCATTAACAATTTATGTTCTTTAATTAAATTAATTTCCCATCAATTTTTAGTTCAAAGCAATCATTGTTTTCATAAAAATGATTTGCATATCATGTAAAATTATTATTATTTGGTACATAAACTTTGTACAGAAAGAGAAAATAAAAAAGGAGAAATATCTGATACTTTTTTGGAGAGAGAGAACATTTCGTTTTAAGTAAATGATTGACTTCCACAAACAACTTAAGTCTTCTATGCGTTTATTTATTTAGTTTCTATTACAGCCTTGTATGTTAACAGCTACATGTATAAAAAAAGTTGTTTAGATTTGATGTGGAAGGTATTATAATGTACACAGATGTGTATACGTGGGAGCTAACTTATAATAGGTTAAAGAAAAACGTTTAGGTCAAAAATTGCTGCTGTTTGTCACATAAAAAATAAGTGCTTATTAATTACACATTGTCTTAATATGTATCTCATATGGTCAATCCCACTATTTATTGACTAGCTGCCTTCCCTCTAGTCTATCACTGCTAAATTATAGATGGCTAGCGCAGATACCCTATGTGCACGAAATTCCAAACAATGAACGTCAAGACCCAATCCCCCTCTCGTACAAGTTATGCATAAATAAATAAATGGACAAAAGGGTCCTTCTAGTTGCTGTTTGGAAACACAACCATAAACACCAGTACATCGCTGGCAAGAAGACTTGAAACGTCTTCTGTATTTCCAACATCAACATAACCAAGAAATTTATTCCCATCCCACTCCATATGTTTTATTACGACCATTTCATCTAGTATTAAAGCACAAATAATTTGACTGGTTTCTTCTTTTCCTTTTCTGCCACTGTTGTAATTCATTAAATGTTTCTTATATAAGGCTTGGTGCCCTATTAATGCTTTTATACCACTTTCTAATCGTAAATGAATAGGTAAAACAGATTTAAATAACGCATTACAAAATTTTAGACTTTGGTGGAGTAAAACTGCAGTGTCAAAGCAAAAAATTGCAAAAGTGGAGAATATGCTTTGCGAGTCTATTTCGTTTTCTGTTAATAAACAATCCTATTTTAAAGATTTCTAAAAAGTATCAGAGAATGTGCTTTTCAGTATATCAAAACATTAGTGGATCGTAAATTTTCTTTTTTCAGAGCTTGTACAATCACATTTAATAAAATAACAGTTCGTTTCCAACGCATGTTCTTTTTTTGTGAAAAACTTTATTTTTTTCCTAGTCGTGTTCAAGTGACAACTGTTATGTCCATTTTTTTAATTTCGCGCAAAGCTACACGAGGGCTATCTGCGCTAGCCGTCCCTAATTTAGCAGTGTAAGACTAGAGGGAAAGCAGCTAGTCATCACCACCCACCGCCAGCTCTTGGGCTACTCTTTTACCAACGAATAGTGGGATTGACCGTCACATTATAACGCCCCCACGGCTGAAAGGGCGAGCATGTTTAATGTAACGGGGATTCGAACCCGCGACCCGCAGGCTGCGAGTCGAGCACCCTAACCACCTGGCCAAACCTTAGAAGCCTCATTATTTAAATTTTGCGAACCCACTTTATGACGAGGGGAATACCCTTTTGAGTCCTCTCTTTTGCATCATGCCTCCAGTCTTCAGTGCCCCATTGAATGAATATTGTTGCCCTTACGTATTACTAACTAGTTTTTATCCTACCTTTCGACTGCTAATCTGCTGCAGCCTTAGGAAAGTCCTGAGAAGCACATTAGAAAAATAAAGATAAAAGAAGCATTATACATTATTTTGATACACTCCGTCAACCTAGCATAGAAGTCAACACAGCCTGACCCATGTTGATGGATAAGGTACCAGATTTTCATCAACAAGACCTAGGATTGAATCCAGGCCATTAACAAGACAAAATTATTCTTCCTCAGAACCCTGAAAACATCAGCAGATAAGTAGGTGAAACGTAAGATAAAAACTAGTTAATGATTAATATTCAAATTTAAAGACTACTTACTCATTAATAATTAGACTACTAACCATGGCAACAGTTAAATCACATTGAATTGTTAAATTTAAAACACATTCTCAATGTCCGTAGATTTTATCAAAGGGATGACTAAAGTTGTTTTGCAGAAAACATAAGTAAAATGATTATGTAACTGAAGCAAGTTCTGAAAAGTATAAAGTCATGGAGTGGTAAACCCATAGCTCATTAGAATACATATTCTTACGTTGCTAATTCCAATGCTTTTTTTTACACATACTGTTACAATTCGTTAGTAAATGAGTAGCCCAAGGGTTGGCAGTGAGTGGTGTTGACTAGCTGCCATTCATTTAGTCTCTAACTTTAAAATTATAGACAGCTAGCGCAAGTAGCCTTCGAGCAGCTTTACACGAAATTCAAAACAAATAAATTCAAATTTTTACATCTACTCGAATCAGCTCATGTTTACTTAATAAAACTTCCAAAACAGTTGTCCAAAAAGGTTTAAGGTCCCATCGTCAGTTAGGAAGGTTAGACTGAGATACAGGTGTGTGTCCTTCCTACATATCCTCTATGGTATGTTGCCCTTAGGCAGTGTAGGACTAAAATCACCCCTTGATGTTGGCAATTTCTCCATTGCGCGATGTAAACAGCTCTTTCTTTTCGCAATTGATCGTATTTTTCCATGTATTGAGGCAATTTCAAAACATGAAATTATTTGATCAACAGAATCAACGTATTTTAACTCATGAAATAAAATACATATTTCTGTAATTTCTTTGGACTGAATAATTTCAACAGTTAATAGAATGTAAAAGTTTACCAGCCCATGGACTGAGTGCTGTTGTGTAAAAAATGAATGAGTATTATAAAATCGTAAAAACAATAAATTATTATTTTTTCAACGTCTGAGCGTATGCTTAAAATTATCTTTTAGTTTTTAAAACTCATGATAAGCTAAGAATTCCAGCTATTATGGCATATTGTAACTGTATTAGTTTATTAACTTATTTCATTGATATATCCACGATTTTCTTCTCGCATTTTCTCATTGCTTTTAACCAACAGATGTCGCCTTGGTAACGCTAGTGATAGAGACACCTGCTCTCCATTGCGGTTGTTAGGAGAAATGTTGAATATTTATTGTTGTGTTGTAATTTTGATTGCGAAACAAAGTTAATGCACCGCAAATATATTTTTGCAGAGGTAAGCTTTCAATATACGCATAACTCTGATTATCTACTATTCCATAGTAATATTATAAATTACAGTTTAAGCATCAAACTATCGTCAGTACAATGTCACTGAGTGTCAGTGTCACTCAGTGTGTCACCAGGCGTAATAACTGTCACTAAAAGGTTTGGTAAAAGTTACAACACCTAGAATTCATTGTTTTCACAAGGAAAACTCACCGAACAAAACATTATCCAGTCTCTTGTTAGCCATTACAGTTTATTAATTTAACTTCCGTAGGTTTCTTCCAATTAACCTACAAAGAACATCTTTGCCCCAAGCCTATCTGTCTGCCAATGCCATCCCTTCACCTCTCGTACTTACAGAATCCTGTTTCTTTTTTTTAGCCTACCTGCATTTCATTTTAAACTTTTAGAATTATAGATTTAAATATTAAATTAATTGGTTATGAGCCTAATGAGTTTATGCTATTTCTTGAAACAATATAACTTCAGATCAAGTCCCAGGACAGAAATGGTATAAGCCTACTGTGCCTACTGATTTAGAAGTCAATAATAAATTTTAACTTGAAGTTGATGTCTTGTGTGGATTTTTTCTGCAGGGAAATGTTGTAATTAAAAGGTAAATGAATTACATTACACAGCTTCAACATAAAAACTACAGTATCTATAGTTTATACTAAATGCATTAAGGACTTTACAAAAATTACTAATCTATAAATCTCACAGTCAATACTGTGTGTGTATATATATATATATATTTATAATAAAAAGGTATATTCCATATCACTTTGACTTATGGCTTTATGTCAATTAGAAAAAACAGTATGGTATTTTTAGGGGTTCAGTGAATCCTTTGTTAACCCATATTAAATCTAACCCATGAAGCTTGAACTTAACAGGGTATGCAGTTTTTCTCATATCATCATTTCTGTGGCTTTTTTGATGAATCAAACTGCAGATTGAATTTTGAAAGACTAGCTTTTATAGTATACGAGTAATTCATATTTTACATTATACTGCAGTAATATGGTGGCTACCATGTTTTTGGTTACTTCCAGAAATGACATAGATACGTAATTGCATGCAGATTATTACAGCAGCCTTGTAGGCACTTGAAACTTGGTATGAACAAAGAGAATAATCAGATTATCAATGGATTGTATCATATAATCTAGAACACTACTATAAGAACATATTATCACTATTTGAAAACAAAAATATAATTGCATGAACATTGCTTAAATTTATACTAATACATACATTTATGTATACACTATTATGTATACATAAATTTATACATGCCTGATTTTGTGTAGCTGTGGGTCCATCATGTCCTCATTAACATGAACAAGGAGTACCAGAAATGGAAACATTTTAATAGTATAAGAGTGATTAATAAGCACAGCTGGCTTGAGGACTATATAGGAATGGTCACAATATGGCAGACAGAAAACATCACAAAATGATTGCACATTTCTTGCAGAGTATGTTGACCCTAATTAAGTAAAATGAGAAAAACCAAGTAACTCTTTCTTTCTAAAAATAAATAACCATTAAAATTTCAAAATTTTAATTACTATAAGAAAAAGTCATATAGAACCATTAGAATTAGATCAAAATTTGATACGTAAAAGTAATGATTCATTTTAATGTTTATCCTAAGAAAGTGAAAGCCTATTCTTTATAAAACTTAAACTAAGTTTGGTTTAGTAAGTTACTAATAAATTTTTAATTAAAAACTAGTAGCTCTGCCTTTGAACAAAAGATGTAGAAAATACAATAAGGTTATAACAACAATGTTGCCTTCTGCTGAGCAGCATTCACAGTTGCACTTAGTGAGTATAGAAAAAAAAATTTCAACCAATTTAATGTATCACTAAAAACTTGGTTTAAAACTTAAACCAAACAAAGAAACTTTTTTAAAAGTAGGTTCACTATGTATGGTAGTACATGGAAGCAGTAAAACTCACTTTTAAACTATGCATGATAAGATATATATATATATATATATACTTTTTCTTGATTGAAGTTAAATGTCATATTATAATTGAACTGCAACTTCTGTCTGTACTTCTCAAATTAAAATTCTGGATTTTACACTTACAGTAATGAATTTGGCTGTAGCTAACAACAAACATCTTTATCATTCCATATCCTTTGTAAACAAATTCAAATGATGGAACAAAATCTAGTATAATTACTGAAAATTGTAAGTAACTAAATAGGAAAATACATAAACATCATTCTTTATGTATTCTAATAATACATTGTTCTTGTTATGCAGACAACTACAGCGAAAACTCAATTTTGAATTGATAACTTATATGGGTTTTAGACTAGTAATTTACCACTTTGTTTTTCTAGAATTTGAGTGTGGTGAAACTTTCATACTTATTCTCAAGTTTCTATTCGTTGGTTTTAAAGTATATTATGAATGTATCATAAGTAAGTTTTTCAAAAGTAAATTTTCAAAATTCAAGCAACATTAGTCTATTAACCAAAAGAGAGGTTGCAGTTTTATATCAATATTATAATTCCTAAACATGATATGTTAAAAATTTTCATTTTAATGTAATTTATTACTATGCAATTATGTACCATAACATATAAACAAAAGATCATTTAGTCCTTGAAGGTTGTCTTTTCACACCCATCTTTGAGAAGAGTAAAAAAAATTAAATCTGCCCTGTATTTTGCAGGAAATCATCCTTACTTAAAATTTCATAATGTGCCAGTTCCTACTAATGCTTTTGTTAACTCATTCCATAAGCCAATCACTGTATTAACTAGAGTCTAACCAGAATTTTCCAACTTTTAAAATTATGTCCTGTTGCCCTATTGTCTTCAGAATACAGCACAAATAAATTTTGTAAGTTTCAATAAGTTCATGTCTCAAGCTTCTTTTCTTAAGAGAAAATATTTTAAGAGATCTTAATCTATTCCTATAAGATAACCCTTCCATTCCCAGACTCATCCTTGTAAACTTCATCTGAACTCTTTCGAATAAGCCAATACCCTTTCTTAGATAAGGAGACCAAAAATACACAACATTCCAAGTAAGGCCTAACTACTAATTCCATAGATATATAATTACATCTTCAGTATGTATATATATATAAATACACCCTAAAATTCTATTAGCTTTACAACTAGCAGCAGAGTACTGTCTTGATAGCTTGAGAGACTTATCCACCAATATTTCAAGACTCTTTTCTCTAGTTATGCTGTTAACTTGATTCCCATCTAGATTAAATATGTGATCCAAATTATAATAATTAGGGTCATTGCTTTGTACGTATTTCAAATAAAGGCCATTTTCCAAGTATTTGTCTAACTTACCAATTCATCTAAGTCATTTTGTAATGTATATATCATCATCCTCAATACATTTAGAAATAACCAAGTTTAGTATCAGTATGTTGAGATAATGTTATCCTTCACAAAGTTTAAATTGAATGAGGAAAATATTGTTTTAATTATCTGTTGTCATCTGTAAAATTAAGTTAGTCTAGAAAGAATTCAGGTTTTCACAATAACAATTTAAGATTAGAATATTAGTTAAGAATAATGCACAAAATTTATCTTTGTCTATTATTGGGGTTGTTTTGCATTTGAATTAAGATATTTAAAAAAAAGTTACGTTTTGATTTTTTAACAGAAATACTCATGCTAATTACTCAGGTGTTGTTTATTTTAGTTTAAACCATGTATCATTTTATCTTTATTATGGAAAAGTGTAATAAAGATATATAGCTTTTGTTTTATAGATTCAAAAGTCCATTATTCACAAATATATAAATTCATTTGTTTGGCTTGCAAAATCTATAAAACACTTAAATGTAATCACTAATAATATTTACACGGTTACAGGATTTTTCAAAATAAAATACAGAGCTTTTGATATATAAACAAACATTAAAATATATTACATAAGTAAAATATGAACATAATTTCCTGTCTTTTTATTAAATTGTACTTCATGTGGCACAAGTTATTTTTATGTATCTCGAACATGTAAAATAAATAATGCTCATTGTTTTGATTTTAATTGAAATATTTAAGAAAATGACTACCAACATTTGAATGTTAATGATGTTTTTTTGCATACATTTAGGTATAGTAGTGAAGACATTTGTAAAGGGTACAAATTAATGTAATATTGCAAAAAATAAAAAAAATATCCTGTTTTTGTTTCGGAATCTTCAACAGCTGTGCACTTCAAAATTCTTATGAGATCGTTTTTTCCTTTTTTATTAGCTATATTTCTGTGTGCCAGCAGTACCAAGCGTGGAATGTGCTTATACCCAATTCAGTTTTATTACTTATCAGGATTTCTAACAACTTAATCTCAAATTGAAATTCTCGTCAGCAGGATTAGAGTAAATTAATCTATGAGACCGTGGGAGTGGTCAAATACATCAATCAAAAGGGTTTGACCTCCTGAGTCCAAAACTGTAATTAGATCTCAAATTGGTCAAGAGATGACAAAGCTATGAACTAAAAGTTTGTACTTGAAAAAAGGCTCAGAGCCATTCTATGAGCCACTATGCCATGGCTAAAAAGAATTCTCTGATTACCAATACCTATCTAATGGTATTAAATTTAGACTTGAATACACTGAGCACATATTCAGTATATGATCATATATGAATGTGTAACAAGATGTGTAAAGTATATTTTAATGACTAAACTATGTTTTCTCCTTTTAATTACCATTTGTAAGCTTAACTCTTTTATAAGTATATTTATTTTTATTTACTGAGCGAGAAGAAACTTGAAAAAATCTAATGTCATTATGAATTGTATAGTTACAAAAATTTAAAATATTTGTTTAGAATATTAAATAAAAGCATGTTTTAAAGCACACAGAACACCAGATATTTGCATCTTGATAAGAAATATTTAAAAAATTTTCCTCAGCTTATGTCTTATTGCCAAACTATTATAATCATATCAGAACTATAATGCTAAACTTGTATTAAAGTTTTCTTCATTACCCATTCAAGCCGT